CTGTTCCTGTAATCCCAATATCAAGTTCAAGTCTACGTAATAAAATATTGTGATCATTTGTATCAAATGCAGCACTGAGATCTAACAGGACAAGAATGGACACAAGTCCACTGTCTGAGGCCATGAGAATATCATTAATAACTTTCACTAGTGCTTTAATTGTTGTTTGGACAGACAGCACCTCTCTGTGGACCTGCATCCTCCACCGGTCACTGCTTCATCACACCTGGTTGCACTGATAAGGACGCTGTGGAATTCAAGTCAAATTATTCTCTGCACCAAGTTGTGTTTATGACACAACCAAATATTACGATTTAATTTGTAAAACTCTTAATGAAACTCAATTTAACTGTCCAAAGAAAAAAAATAAAACAGCTTTCATTTTCATCAAATTTTATCAGTTTGCTCAAACATACATGTACAATAAGTACAATAAGCTCAACAAGACAATGTTTTTTTTCTGTTTAAACACCTTTGTACAACACAACTTTTTTCAAAACATAGTAAATCATAAATTGTGTTTTTTAATAAATAAATAAAAGGCATTAACACATAGTCTGTACAAGTGACTAAAAACAATAATATATTGCCCTTGCAAGAAACTCTAAAAGTAATTAAATTACAGTCTTACAGTCTGTAAAAAACATCAGGGCACAACTAAAACATTGGCACAAAAAAATTGCAAACATTCTACATGTATGGTATATTCAAGTGGAATTGCTCAACGTTAAGCACAAAGGCAACTTTTTATCAATTTGGGCACTTAAAGAAAATATTCAGGATATGTTTGGGATCAACTGAACTTTCTTCTTAAACGCTGACAGACGAAATGAAAAACGTGTGTTTGCAGCTCTGTGAGGCTGCAGCGTTGTGCTTTGAGATAAATGCAAGCTAAACAGATTAAACTTTAAACTGAAAAGTAATAACGTTAACATTGATCAAATTACTGTCATATTTAAAACACTGTACAAGTGAAGGAATTGTTCCTTGGTTTAAAAAATAAAACTGCTTTGCAAATGAAATGCTTTACTTGAGCAAGAAAAGGATAGTTAAGGGTTCATGAGATGAATATAATCAAGCCTGAGGGAATTATCAATTATTGGACTAAACATGAAAAAAAAATAAAATAATGCAAAAGAAATGTTTATACAAGTTTATATTCCGGAGACTAAAAATATTTTATAGTTCTAAGGATAGCAGAGTCTATTTCAACCAGCTGTTCTTTATTCCTTCTTAAAAATGACATCAGTCACTAAAATAATGTAGGACATGAGGATTTTCTTCCTTTCTTTTCGTTTTTGTATTAAGCCCTGATAAAATCAAAGAAGTAGCATTTCTTCAAAGAATACATTCTGCCTGTCACGTGTCATGCCAGAAGTTTTAACTAAAATGATATTGTGATAAAAGACTGAGCTAAAGCTGTTTTGGTCAAACCTTAAAAATGAAGTCTCTAGTTAGCTACAGTCACTTAGTTGTGGCAACCATCTTGAACTGGGTTGTTTGCAAGAGTTAATGAGTTGTAGTTATACATAATTACTTTGAGAGTTTTACTAAAATCCGTCCAGCGGTTCATAAAATATTTTGCTAACAAACAGATAAAACATACACATAGGCACGTAAACAACAAGGAAAACAGTACATTATCAGCCTTTGGCAGTTAGCCATAATTAGCAAGATGATTGCATAGAACTTTACATACAAGCAATTATTTCAACGAAGGAAAAATGTTTAAAATCAGTGGCGGATCTAGGATTTTTCAGTGTAAGGGGCCATCAAGGGGCCACAATATTTATAGAGGGGCCAAGTATTTGTTCAACATCCTTTCACACAAATCCCCAGTTTTTGTAAGGTTTATACATTTAATCAGTCACACGTGTTCAAACACTTGTAAAAGCATGCACAGTAAATTCTCCGCATCAATTTTACATGATTTTTTTTACTGTAAGTAAATAAAATACTCTCAAACACATAAAATGTAAGAAAATCTACCCATCGTTGTCAGCAGAGGTGTCACTAGGTTTTAAGGACAAGGGGGGCTTAGCCCCCAGGAGACCCACAGAATTTTGTATATTATATACTTGTATTTTGTGTGTGTCTGTGTGTGTGTATTATGTATGTATGTATGTATGT